GTTGATATTTCTGAGTGTCAAAGATTATTGTTCCAGCACCAATCATCCGTTTCTTTTCTTGAATTAGTCTGGCATAATCGGGGACGTCCTACTTGTTGCCAACAACAACGAAAGGGAACGTATCGCTATTTTTAATGTTCGCTTCTCTCTTGAAATTGGATATCCAATACGTCAAGTTTTTGAAACTACTCAGATCGCTTGCTGAGTACATCAGAAGACATATGTCGACGTCCTTGTACTCTGGTGGTACTTCTCCAAATTCTTCAACGGAGACGGTGTCAAACACGTTCAACTCGTATAGCTTGTAGTTGACACGTACAGATTTGCGCAAGATTCCTTGGCTTATAATTTCGCACGTATTCCCCACGAATTTCCGTGCAGCTGATGTTCTCCAAACGCCTCGATCGCCGAGAATTAATACTTTTATTTGCACACTCGTTGCAGCTTGAGAGATCTGTGCTTGCGGACATCTTCGACGTATTCTTCGAACTTGTGTTTCGTACTGGTATGTCGTACAAGTGTTTCGTACCGTGAGCGGACTGAAACTGTCTTGTTTCCGTCGCGAGGCCCTTATATAGGCTCGGGTTAGTAGGGATGTATTTCCGGTTTAGGATAGGTCGAAATCTTTATATTTTGACCAGTGAGGTAGCACGTCATCAGGTCGACATCTTTATATTTTGACTAGTGAGGTGCCACGCCATTTTCTATTATGCACGGCACTAAACTGAGGAAAAAAAACTCCGTACTTTATACCTTTCGAACAAAATAAATGGACCTTTCGCTTTTTTTTCCACGAAAGGTAATCGCAATTTAACGATTCGTAAATCAATATTTAACGATTATTTAACGAACGTTACGTAAAAAAAAGGGAAAAAGGGAAAGAAAAAAAAAGGAGACAATCTGTCGATTGTCCAGTCTTCTTTTCCATTTTTTTTTACGAAACATCGTTAAATAAAAGTTAAATAACGATTTAAGAACCGTTAAATTACGATTACGTTTGGTAGGAAAAAAAAGGGAAAGGTGCGTTTGTTTTGATCGAAGGGTACAAAAAAAAGGGAAGATCCATTTGTTTTGTTCGAAGAGTATAAATTACGAAGTTTTTTTTTCCTCGGTTTGGTGCTGTGCATAATAGAAAATGACGTGGCACCTTGAGAAGATTTAGCACAGATTTCTCAAAGAGGACCAGTTTATTCTTAAATAAACTTATATATAATAATAAACTTATACGGTGCGAGAGTCGCATTTCACGCGCGATCTTTCTTCCTGCGCGATGCGTTTCTCATTGCAAGACTGCCTCGCCCCGCTTCTCCACGGTACCCCGAGCTACCGAAGTATCGTCCCGAGTCGAAACTTTGACTTCATGTTAAACATTTAATTATATAACATAATGTATACGGGAAAGAAACAGTCTGAAATCAACGATAGGTATTCTCACGTATAAGCGAGAATATTATAATACTCTTAATAGATATTCAGTCTTGAATATTATTTCGGACTTTGCCGTAAAGTGGCACTTGGATATATCATATCGTTCTTCGCATTTCACGCAACTTGAAATTTCCATATATAGACACGAACGCGAAGCCTGACAATTTAATCCCGCGGCTATATTTCTATGTCCAGATCGAAGATAATTCATGAGAAATGTGAAGGTGTATAAGACTTGAACTTTTATTATAATGATATTGGAGAGGTAAGTTTAGACATTGGAGAAGGGGAAGAGAAAGCAAGGAAATGGAAGTCGAACACAAAAATTACGTTTGAAAAATAACTTGCTTAATTTATTTTCTAAAATATTTCTATTCTCTTCATAGAAAAATAACGTCTGTAATATAGTAAGAATTGTCTTCTACGTCTATCTACAAGTATCTGTTCGCCTTAGATCTTGAAGTGCGAACACCATGACATTGTTCTTAAAAGAACATCAGGAATGATGATGCGATTGGGGAGGTCCACATGACTGTCCCGATTCCGCTCGTACATTGTCATCCCTGCTGCAAATTTATTTGATTAAATATTTCTGTTCTTTCCACACAAATATAATGTCTTTAACAAAATGTTAAGAATTTTCTTCTTCGCTTACCTATAAGTATCTGTTCGCCTTAGTTTTTGAAGTGCCGACACCATGTCATTGTTCTTATAATAACATCAGGAATGAGGATGATTGATAGTTCCACTTGACTGTCCCAATTCCATTTGTCGACGCTCGTACAATGCCATCTTTACTCCAAATATTCGGTTGATGGTGGGCTCCTCTTTGGTTGATATTTC